GAACAAGGGTAAGGTATATACATTAAAAAAAACATTATACCAACAGAGGTTGGACATCAGAAGAAGAAGAAAACAGGAAACAACCTAGGAACCTGCCACAGAGGGCCTCCGAAAGCCTCTGCCCTGCAGACTATCAAATCAGACGCTGAGACTTATGGCCAACTGTTGAGCAGAGTTCATGGAATCTTATGTAAGAAGTGGGAAATAGTAAGAGCTGGAGAGGATAGGAACCACATAAGGAGAGCAACTGAACCAGAACATTTGAACACAGGGAACTTCCCAGAGACTCAGACTCCAACCAAGGACTAGTCATGGAGATAACCTAGAACCCCTGCACAGATGTAGCCCATGGCAGTTCAGTGTCCAGGTGGGTTACATAGTAATGGGAAGAGGGACTGCCTCTTACATAATCTGATAGGCCTGCTCTTTGATCACCTCCCCCTGAGGGGGGAGCAGCCTTACCAGGACACAGAAGATGACAATGCAGCCACTCCTGATGTGATCTGATAGACTAAGAAGGAAGGAAAAGAGGACCTCTCCTATCAGTGGACTTGGGGAGGGGCATGCGTGAAGAAGGGGAGGGAGGGTGAGATTGGGAGGGGAGGAGGGAGGGGCTTATGGGGGGATACAAAGTGAATAAAGTGTAATTAATAATAAAAAATAGCAAAAATAAAATCATTTTTAAAAGAAAAAAAACCTTCCAGAGGTCCTGAGTTCAATTCCCAGCAATGACATGGTGGCTCACAACCATCTATAATGAAATCTGGTACCCTCTTCTGGTGTTCAGGTATACATGCAGACAGAACACTGTATATATAATAATAAAAAAAACACGGAAAAAAAAACCAATTCCACTTAAGCATACTCGAAGGCAAAACTCATGCGGGCCAACTCTCATTTATTGAGACTCTCTTCTCGGGTGATTTTAGGTTATGTCAAGTTGACAAAGTTAATTGCACAGCCTGATGACTTTATTTTGAAGGTAAAGAACCCAAAGCCTGGATATCTGATGAAAGTTGTCCCAAGACCACATAGTGAGACATCATGCTATGGATCTGTACTCTGACTCTTGCTTTTGAATTGTAAAGATTGCTTGCACAATACTGATTTGGTGGTTTGAATGAGAATGGCCCCTATAAGCTCAAATGTTTAAACACTTGGTTACCTATTGGTGGAACCATATGGGAAAAAGTAGGAGGTGTGGGCTTGTTTGAGGTAGTATGGGATTTTTAGGTTGTAAAAACCCACACCACTTCCAGTTACCTCTTGATGCCTCCAACTTGTGGATAAGATTTAAGCTCTCAGCCGCTGCTCCAGCACCATCTCTGCCTGCGTTTGGTTTAGATGAAAGAAGTTGAGGGAATCCATTCATCTTGCATTTTAACCTGCAAAGTTGTTGGAATGTGCATCCAACCATGGGATTGAATTACAGTTAAGGTGTTTTCATTCCGTATCCCACAGGAGTTGGTCCTCCCCTTTTCACCTCACTGGAGCTGCTTCTGGGTGAGACTTGAATGGAAATTTATTGGACCTTGAGAGTGACAAAATCAGCTGAAACTTCCATGCACCCTTAATGACACAGCAACACCCACTGGCATTTGCCTCCTTTGAGGGAGACTGCATGAACTGGGAAACTTATTTTACTGGTTACCATGGCAATTCTTTGCAGTGTCAGCAGAAGTACTCCACAATATACACAAGCTAGCAGAAAGCCTTCCCAAGTTTTCAGTGCAGAATCTGCCTCATCCCTAGACTCAGGCATAGTATTACTGAGCCTTGACTCTGAAATTCAAGAAAAGAATAGCCTCTGAGATTCTTTGCTATCCCCTTATCTTACTAGGGCTAAGAGGTGAAACAAATTCCAACCACCTCTCCAGGTAAGATGCATAGGAATAGATGTAATTGACAAGTTCTTGCACCATTGATCCTCTTTGAATAGACTCCAAAGCTCCTTAGGGTTTAATTCTCCAACTGCTTTACAGCATTTACCCCCTCAGAATCCTGATCATGTTTGTTCCTAAAGCTCAGTTTTCCAAGCCTAGCAATTTGTCTCTTTTTAATCACATGTGACAGTGTGGACACACACTGCTATGTGTGTATTATGGAGCACATTGGGGTTCTGAGGATAACCTCAGGTACTGGCTCATCTTCACCTTTGACCTTGTTTGAGAAGGGTCTTTTCGTCATTTCATGCTGCATCTGGGGGTTCTCCTGTCTTTACCTCCCTACTTTCTTTGAAGCCCTGAGATTACAGGTATGCTATCAAATGTGACTTTTTACATGAGTTTTGACGATGCAAGTCCCCATTCTGGCACAGCATTGAACCATCCCCCCATCCCATAGTTCATCTTTAATTATGTAGATCTTTTAAGGAAAAATAAAACTTTCTAGTTTTACCTTAAAAATCTGGTGGTTACCTTAAAAATCTTGCTATGTATAAACAACAGAACAATTCTACCCTTTCTGGTAAGCAGAGACAAGCTATAAACCAAGTAAATCCTGAGCTGTTCTGAGTTAGGACCCAAGCTGCATCCACAGCTCTGTCAATTATGAGATGTGCATATAAAATGTGAAAGCTGTAACTTTTATAGGAGAGGGCTTATTTCTAGGATAGTTTGTCATGATAAGAGCTTGCTCACTTTTTTTTTTTAACATGCTAAGAATAGTTTAGTAAAGAACCTGAGTTCTTTTCCAATATAAATATCATTTTCAAAAGTTACTAATAACACCATCTTGTGGGATGTGATTTCTTATGGAGTGGTGAACAGATGTGTATACCTGTTTACTTGGATGCAGATTCCTGTGCTAAACTGTTCCTTTGCTGTTGTATGAGGTTATCTTTTCTTCCTGAATCCATCTGTGTGTTGGTCCAAAGCAACAGAAATAGTTGGGTGACTAATACAAGAAAGTGTACTAGAAAAGAAAAAATGGTAGAGTGAGGTACAGGGATGGCCAGAAGGATGAACCCTGAGAAACAGGCTGGCTTCATGACTACATGGTCCAGTCTCTGTAGGATACTGTTGCTGTCACTGTCACCCTGAGCAGCATCCTGTCCAATCTCTCTCCTCCTTTTGTCACCTTTTTCTGGGAGGCAGTCTCACAGATGAACAACTGATACTAGTTGAGCTAGCATTCTGCCCCATGCACTGGAGGTGAATGGTAGGTAGTGCAAACTGTGGAGGGTTCAGCCTGAGGAACTGACAGGCTTTCACACAGTAAAAATTAACCTTCAAGATGTCACAGGGTCTGGAGATACAGCCTAGTGGTTAAGAACATGCACAACTCTTGCAGAGAGCCCGAGTTCAGTTCTCAGCACCAAAATGGGGTGGCTTACAGCATTCTGTAATCCCGCCTCCAGGGAACTACCTGTCTCTGGCCTCTGCAGACACCTGGACTCGTGCAAAAGGTCACATACACATAATTAAAAATAAGAAAATATTTTAAAAACAAAATATGGCAATAAAATTATCAGGCATTTTCTAGAAAGCAATCGTTTAGCTAGTGCTTATTTTGCTGCTGACAAAGTTTGCTTAATGACTTAGCATCTTCTACCTCCCAAGTCCTTGTAAAACCTGCAAGACAAAATCCAGTGATTTATTAAATCCAATTTAATAATCCATTGTTTCTCCAATTTAAACACCATCTCAGGTGAGAACAGTAGGGGCAAAGAGATTGCCTCTTCTGAAGGTGATTACTGTTTGCAGACCCCTTTCATTATTTGAATTTAGTACATAAAAAGAAAAATGCTAGGTGACCTCCAATGCATGATGGCCAAATATCATTAATGCAAAACCCTTGGCAATATATACCAAATTTTGGCTACCATGCACTGAATTTTCAGTGAAAATCATCACATTCTCCTGCATCAGATTTGCACCTTGTCTTATTTATAGTGCAATAAAAGATGAATAGTTGTGCAGTAATTTGCCTGGCTTCTCATCTAAACCCCACTCCTTGTTTCCTTAGTGATATAAGGTTCTTTAGATTAACCTATCAGGGCAAGAATTCCCCTTTCCATTTTTTTCCAAGCATTTTTCTTATTCATTTGAACACCAGTAGTTTTTTTTTTTTTAAATATAACTATAGTTATGGCTCTAGATATTACAGTTAGAGCTGATTGTGGTGGCACATGCCGTTAATCCCAGCATTCAAGAGACAGATACTGATAGATCTCTGTGAGTTTGAGGCCAGCCTGGTCTACAGAGAGAGTTCCAGGCCAGCCAGAGCTACACAGAGAAACCCTGTCTCTAAAATCAAACAAAATATTGAAGGAAAGAGGATTCTTGAGGGGGAGATCTGCTTTGACCTTATGAAGGAACATGAGGAATAGAGATGACACAGGAGACAGAGACCTGCTAAACACCCTCCCAGTCTGTGCTGCTTTGGAGGGTGAGCTTTCCCTGATCGCCTTCTTTTCCAAACTGGAATTTCTTTTAATTTTGTAGTCTTAATTCACACCTCACAAATTGCCTCCGTAGACAGTCCTGGCATACTAGTGACATCCCTTTTGTGTTCTTACTACACAACCCTTTCGGCTTACAGCAAGCTGACATCTTTTGTTTCTGTTTTTGTATGTAACCAACTCCTGTGCCATCCCCATGCCAGGGCAGGAGCTTAGCTCCCTGTTGCTTGTGCTCCTGTGGCATTTGCTGACAACTGGCGGGCCTGGTCTCTCAAAAGCTTCTAAGGCCCAGGGAGGTACAGTGACTTTCTCACAGCTTCCTAGGATACTGAACTGCACTCTCTGAGGGGCATCTCACTCCTCCTGGGATAGAGAAAAGTCGCCTCATTTGGCCACTTGAGGCCAGCAAAACCAATGCTTACTTGCAGCAGCAACTTTCCTTACCTGGCTGGAGAGGAAAAGCCAATGGGGCCCAAAAGGAGGGCTGGAGGGGCGGGCCTGGGGGCGGGGGCGTTACTTCCCCAGCCAATGGGCTCTGAGGCGCAGGGATGCCTGGGCACCCAGCAGAGGCGCTCGCGCACTGTGCCGCGCAGTTACAGAGCGCCCCGGCTGCAGCTCCTCAACGGATCTTGTAGCTGGCGGCGCCGGGCCTAGGCACCTACAGGCCACCGTAGCTGGCACGGTAAGCCACAGCAAAATGGACTTTTGTGGGTTTTCTGGCCGTAGGAAGCACCCACTCCGAGCCGGAGCTGCTAGCGGGTCCTCGCACTATGCTAGTTCGGATAAGCTTCAATGCTGTATTAACGGGATGCTGGTGCTCCGTGTTGGCGGGATGCGGGTGTTCCGTGGGCCGGGAGCGCCACCCTCCCGTCCCAGGCTTCTGTGTAACACTGAACTTGGATGGCTATGGCTTCTGAGGTTTCAACCAAACATTCAGATGTCTGTCAGGGAAGAGCTTCCTCTGGGAAGCTGAGAACCACAGCAAGTGCCGGTGCTCTGTATTGGATCCAAGCACCTGCTTTATGTCTGCAGATCCCTCACGACCTGTTGCCTTGGGTCTGGGGCTCAGATCTCTCTTGCAGGCTCCTATTTCCAGCCATCCTGGGGTGCAGGAAGAAACCCTGGAAGGTTTGTGGCCAGGCTAGGAACAGAGACAAACACAGATACAGCATCCCGGTTATTTATTCACGACTTACTTGGCTGAGTGAGAGACACTATGTGCAGCTCTAGCAGCCTGAAAGGAGTCTTGGGAGTTCATGGGGCCTAACAGAGATGATAGGAGGGATTGCTGTGTGCTGTAATGCAAAGTGCACGAGGTGGGTGGGTCGTGATGCAGCCAGGAAGACTGGGAGGTCGCTATTCAATGCAGTTATAGAGAGACTGGATAGTTTGCCAGCCCAAAACTGTGGGGGCAGAGACTTCAAGGACAGGAAGAATTTCAGTTAGATTTTTTTTTTTTAATGTGCAGATGAAAGAAGCCAGAACCTCAGGTAATCAAACAGCAGATTACGCAGCAGGACCAGGACTTGTGGGTGGGAAATAAGCTGCAAGGTGGAAGGGCTTGCCAAAATGTGCAGGGGTCTAAATATGCAGGCCTATAAGTTTGTCCTGGGGTGAAGGAGGCTGGGAAGGAATTCCAGTGGCCATTCTGCTGGCTCTGTGAACAGTGATGGAGGCTGGCACCCACAAGCTGGTAAGTTGTAAAAAGCTGGGTTTAGGGCAATTTTGCTGTAAAGACTCTAACCCCTTAAGGCTGACTGTCTGGCTTTTGGGCATGGATTCAGGCAAGGAGATGCTGCCATGGGACACTTGCTTCTGAACTTGTGTGTCATTGTATATTGGTTTTGGAAGCTGTGACCTCTGTCTTGCCATCAGGTATAGTCCGTAGGACGTTATATAGAGTGTCTGTGCTCTCTTTATGATCCTTGGGCACTGTGAGGACTTTCTGCCTTTCTATCTCTCAGGGCCCCGTGGCTGCTGCTTTGGGGGCAAGCCCATATAGAAAGTGGTAAAACAACAACAAAGGCTCACCAGAAGTGAGACCAGAAAGCCACTTTATCTATTTGCCTTAAAGACATTATCAGCCTTATGAACTGTGTGTGTGTATGTATATGTGTGTATTAGGAGATCATTGTGCCTACTTGTCATAGGCACGGTTCCTTGGTTAAAGGGTCAGAGATGCTATGCTAGTTATTTTTAATTGCTAATTTCCCACAGCCTAGAATTACCTAGGAAAAAAAGTCCCAATGAAGGATTGATTGTCTAGATTTTATTGTCCTGTAAACATGTCTATCAGACACTGCCTTTATGAGTAAGGTGATTGATGGGAAGATCCAGCCCATGGTGAGCAGGGCTTTTTTCTGGCATGCAGTCCTGTACTGTGTAAGTATGGAGGAAGTGAGCTGAACAGTAGGCATGCATTTATTCTTTCTCCACCTTGGTTGTGGCTGTGACTAGCTCCCTCAAGTTCCTGCCACTTTGACATACCCTAATATATGGGCTGTTGCCTGGACTTGTAAACTAAAATAAGCCCTTTCTTCCCTAAGTTGCTTTGTGATACAGCAACAGGAATGAACACAAAACTGGTGCTAAGATTTCTGTGTAGAAGAGTCCTTGAGAAGTTGTTTTACTGTTCAAGTGAGTACACAGTGGGGGTAGTAGGACCAGGCACAGGCAGTCACTGGTCTGTGAAGAAGGAGAAAAGAGTATTCAAGCCATCCACTGAGGCTTTTGAAAGCCATGCCAACCAGCCAGTGAGCGCAGAATGCTCCCAAGGAGGAGCACAAGTTTAGGTGTCCCTTCAGCTAAATCATTTTTAAATAAGGACTCAAATATGAGCTATAAGCAGTCAACACTCCTGGCTGCTGGACATTAGGCGGTAACAAACATCTTGTTCTGGGAGTGGAAAGCTTTAAAGCTTTGAAGCTTTCCCCTCAGCATCAACTCTCTGTGTAACTAGATGGCTTTGGGAAGAAAAATGATGTTTTGGCCTTACGTATAGAGGTCACTTAGAAAGTTTCTCTTCCCTTTTAATTTCTTTCTGCCCTTGAAAGTAAATGTTGGGCTTCAATATTTATTACTGTGAGGCTCTATACTAATAACCCCAATGGCTGCAGATTCCTACTGAGTACTTGCTATTTATGTGTCTCCTCTCCCAGTTGTCCCCAAATATGGACGGTTATGTGCTTTTATTCTTAATTTGAAGTCATCTCAGTGTTTTTTGAGGTTAATGGAGTCCCTATTAAGATAACAGTGACAGCATCCGTCACAGCATGTCACTTGTTACTCTTTAGGAAATGCTTTCATTGATGAATCACTCATTAATTCAACCACTTATTAATCCAATCAGTCTGTTGGAGAGCCATCCAAACAGTAGGTGCCATCCCAGGCAGGGAGATACAGCTCTGCTAAGGAAGAGAGAGTAGTGGCCATTGCATAATAACCCTTTGAAAGAAAATATTGAAGAATGGACCATTGCTTTGTTTGGAATATGAGTTGGGATAAGACAGAGGACAAGGGGACAGGGGGCTTATCTGAGTGACTCTTTGTGTCTTGCAGCCTTCTTGGAAAGACTATCCTGTGTGACGTGGATACCTGCCTTTCCTTCTCCCTTTACAGCACTTTTTAACTTTATTCTCTTCTCTGTGTTGGTCTTCCTCATTACACTACACAACTGAAAGCTGCTTTATTCCGCAGACCCAGCAAGCACATACTTCTTCATTACGTGTATGCATGGATGGTTGGAGTATAGAGAATGAACCTAGGGATTCATCCTTGCTAGCCACATCCCTTACCACTGAGCTATGCCCCCATCTCAGCACATGTTTCTTGAAGAATAAAATGAATGGTAGATCTGTTTCACAGGGTCATTGGGGGAAGCTCTCTATATCTTTCTCTTTCACTCTCTCTCTCTCTCTCTCTCTCTCTTTCTTGCTCTCCCCCTCCCCCAACGTGTGTGTGTGTGTGTGTGTGTGTGTGATGTGAGAGAGAGAGAGAGAGAGAGAGAGAGAGAGAGAGAGAGATTTATGCTAATACCTGATACTCAGCAATGCTAAGATTAGGAAGCAGAAAGAATAACTTGCCTGTGGACCATAAGGCAGAGGAATGCAGCCTACTATAGTGGAATCACCACTCAAGGGTTGCTTCAAGCCACCTGAGATTCATTTGAAGCTGCTTACCCTTGGAGGCATGCTGAGTGCAATTTACCCCAAGTGCACTGAAGGCAGTGAAGGATTTTGACCCAAGTCATGGCCTGATATAATGCTATGTGTTTGTTGATTTTCTGTTTTTGTCTTGACTCTAGGAGGCAAACTCTGTAAAGAAAGGGGCTCAGTTACTACAATTAAATGAATGGTTGATAGCTTATAATTTCAAAATATCCCAGAAGCTACAACTAGAGAGAATAATGAAGTCTTGACACCAACTAGAAGTTAGGTGAGTGAGATATGGATGTCTTATGTAAGAAAAGGGAAAGAGCAGAAGGATTTTAACTATATTTTGGACATAGAATAGATAGGATTTGTTGCTACACTAGATTGGAGGTGTACAGAAAAAAAGAATGGTCGAAGGTGACTGTGAAGCTTATGGTTTAGGGTTGGATGGATGAAAGATATCTATCCCTGGGTGAAGGGATGAATGAAGTATGCTGTATGTACACGATGAACTATTAGTCATAAAACAGCCAAAGTACTAATAGAACATGCTATGGTATAAAGGGACCTGTAAACATTACAAAAATGTAAATGAAAGAAGGCAGACATGGGGCTAGGGAGATATCTTAGTGGGTAAAATGCTCACTGGACAAGCATGAGGAGCTGAGTTCAGATCTCATACGTCCATGTAAAAAGGCTGAGTGTGGCAGCAGGCATACAGAACCCAGGACTAGGAGGTAGAGGGCAGGAGCTTGCTGGCTAGCCAGCCTATCAGAAGCAGTGAACTCCAGGCCCAGTGAAAGAGTCTGTCTCAAAAGATAAGGTGAGGAGTAATAGAAAAAGATATCCACAGTGAATCTATGGCCTCTGTACATGCATTCCAGGGTAAGTGTACAAACACATGCCTATACACACACAGAATGTGGGTATAAGAGGCCAGGTGCTACAGTGTCAGTATCCATATATGCTAATTCACAGACACAGGAGGAAATCAGCATTTGTCCCAGGCTGAGGAGAAGAAGGAGTGGGGCCTGAGAACAGAAAGAGTAAATGATTCCCTTTGGGGCAATGGTGTGAGACTTTAGAACTAGATAGAGGTGGTGGTTGTCTACAGTCTGAAGGTGCTAAATGCCACTCAACCATGTGCTTTAAAGTGCTTAACTTTGCACAATATAAGAGTCACTTCAATTTTTTAAAAAAAGATTAGGTGAATGACATGGGTGTTTTGACAATAGGGAGACTTGGGGAGTCCAGCATGTGAGTCTAGACTACCCCAATGCACCAGATACTCATGAGGAGTATGTATTTGATGTGGGTCTGTATTCTAGCAGATAAGTCTGGGCTGGGATATAAATGGCTGTTATCAGTTCTCATGTGTCAGGCATGAAGCAAGTGAATTCTAGTGACAAAGGATATGGAGGAAGACATGAGATCTTGGACCATTCTTTAATGTGATGCTCATAGCTAGCCTATAAAAAAGGTATTGTGGTCTTTCTTCGGACAAAGAAATCAAGAATATACCACCCATCTC